TTTGTCATTCCCAATTCCAAAGCACACTTCTGCATGCCATCGGACTCACTGAAACAGTTTTTGGTGCATTTTTCTCTGCGACTCAAACTCACCTCAACCCCTTACTGGAAATCCTTGAACCCCAATCTGCGTTTCTGAGAAACCAACAACAACAACTCATCATTCATGACTCGGCTGAGTCAAATCAGACAATTTCAGCCAATTCAAATATTTGAATGCAACAAGCATCTCCGTCATGACTTTATGAATGAGTCACCCTCCCACCGCCCCCCTGCTTGTAATGTGCTTCTGATTCATTGTGATTTGTGAAATTCATGGCAAGACTCAAAATCTTCAACGCTGTCTTCTGCGTGTGTGTGTGTGCGCGTGTGTGTGCGCGTGTGTGTGCGTGTGTGTGTGTGTGCATGCGCTTGAGGGTGACTGTGTGTGAAGGGATTTGGTTGAGAGATAATTGACTCCTTCAGTCACTCTGATCTGCTGTGAATCATCTGCAGCCATCTGACTTCCTGGAAGGCTATTTCAGGAGTTATAAACTTTTCCACATTGGGACTAATGAGGAGCCACTCCGAGTTTTAGCGCTCGCTCTTACAAAATACCAATAATCCAAGATTTTTGCTTTTCTGCATAGGGAGCATATTCTGCATTTGAGCATATGCTAACATGATGCAAACGGGGTATTTTCGCGTGAGAATGAGAGCCTACTTTCACTTCAGCCGAGGCTCGACTCCCATTTCTGCTAAATACACACATCACAGTAAGTATTCGGTGTGTGTGTGTAAGCACCAATGAGACAATTAATTTCACTGTCGTCACTTTTCCATTTATCTGATTTCGTGTTTCGCTAATAAAACAAACTACACAAGGATTTTCACCCAACGATCTTGTTTGAAAAGTGACTGAAACTTTGAACTGATGATCAAACTAACTAATTAAAAGTCATAAGGTTGTTTCAGCTTGGGGACTGGACAGATTCGTTGAAGCACACAGCTTTCTCTTCACAAATCTGATTGCACAACCTGAAGAGGAAACCTGCAGTCTACAGGCACATTCACATTTTTTAGCAACATCCTTGCAGTGCTGCAGATAAATCAAACCTATAATCAACATTCTTCTAACGAAAAAAACAGTTTTGCTCTGAAGTAAACACGGGCAAGTACAGTAACTTTAAATAACGCATATTATAAAGCACACTCAGGGACACTGCATGGATAAAAAGCTGATATTTATGGCATTAACAGCCATATTATAAATATATAAGCAAGATATTATAAATCCACACTTACTGCAAAGAAAGCATTTTGTCACCTTCAAAAAAAAACATTTTTAGTTCTTTGCATGCATCTGGGTTTTATTTTATATTTTCTCTTCTGGCAGAATCTGACCTGCCAATTTATCCCCAGAATTAGCTCCAATCCTTCTCATTTCACTCTTTTCACGCTCACATCCCCTCCCTGCAAGGCCACAGTGGGTCAGATCTTTCTCGTGGTCTCACCAGTGGATTTCTTAGAACCCCCCGAGGGAAACGGAAGAGCTGATGTCTGCGATAACATCTCAGATAGAGACATGGAACCATGACATTGCCTGATCTGCAGCTGATACTCGGGGTTACAGAGTGTGACACATTTTCTAGTTTGTGTTTCTGCAATGCCTGTTTCGCTTGTGCATGAGTACAAGCAGGGAGAACAAGCTGCAGGAGGTTCGAATTGACAAAAATTAAATAAAAAAATAGTTTAGTTTCCAAGAAGACGTTTTTTTTCCCTTTAAAGGAGATTTATTTTCAGTGCACAAACCGGCCAACCAAATAATCTTGTCAATTTGCAGAAAACCTTGTTATAACCCCACTGATCAAGTGTCATGCCACCATCTGGGGGAGAATCCCAGGATATTCATAGCAGTAAAAATGTACAACAGAGTTAATCTAATGTGCCACAAGATTCAGAGAAGAAAATTCAACTTCATCAAATTGTAGTGATTCAGTTTTATGGGTTTTACTTTACGGTTGGCATGAGGATCAACTCAGCAAATTTCAAGAAAACACTTAGAGAGCAACAAAAACAATTAATTTATGACTAGAAGTCCAACATAAGAGTTTGAAAACTTGGGGGGGGGGAGGCAAATAATTACAGAGATTTTGTCTAGGCCTGTCTTTTTCCAAAGAGAAATCTGCGGGCGAGTAAAACCCTGGAAAGCATGTTAGCAGACGTTACTTCCTCACCCTGGGGCACGTCTGTCTCTCTTTTGTGTTCAGTGACTCAAGGTGGGACAGCGATTGTATCTAAATGACTAAATCTTGCAGGAACTTCAACCTCATCAAATGGGTTCTGGTATTACTACAAACTCTAAAAGTGTTTCAAAACATATGGATTGGTTGAAATCTAGTAAGAAAGTCAATACAACATGACAGGAGCCTAGCTTTACACTGTGTTTGATGTGGAGGTTACAACCAGTATTATTGTTTCTAAGCAATTAACAAGAGAATATAAAAATCTGACTAGAATGAAGTGTTTTTCAGTGAATACTTGTATCATGTGATGCTCACCTTAATGTAGCAGGGACAAAAACAAGGCGAGCTGACTGCATTATGAATATTTAGACATTTTTACTTTCTTTTTTAAACTCCGTGAGAACATGCTTTCCATACAACTGTTTACGACAGACTTTTAAAACACCAGCTTGTGGCCAATTTGCAGGGGGAAGCGGTATCAGATGCAACATGCGTACATGCGTTCACCGTCTTCACGGCAAAAAAAGCTCTAAGCTGTAGAAATCCTTTTGCAGCAAAACATGTCGATAGAAACATGTCGACATAATCAATCTAGTTTGATCATGTTTCAGGAAAACATTTTGCACATCAGTTTATGCATGTCAGCAATGAATAATTTCAGTTATTTTCACAAAATGTTAACAATCAACTTGTTTTTTGTAATATCTAATGCATCTAGTGCTGCAGCTGCTTAAATTGGTGGCTTGCATGCGGCTGGATAAGATCTGAAAGCCAGACTTTTGATTAGACATGGGCAGGTGCGAGATTCTCACAGTGTGATAATGTTAACGCTGCTTCACAGCGTCGAAACAAAAACACTAAGCAACAAAGAATAATATGATCCAATTAAAACAGAAAAACAATTATTCTGACTGCTGTTAAAATGATGGACTACAGTGATTCCTACAGTGATAATGATGTTTGGAGGATTTAATTATTAATATTGAGCAAATGTTTAGAATAGGAATGCACCACAGGGTTTCCCCCAGTGCATTGTAAGCCTGGCGGGCCACCAGGCTTTACTTGAGGCCCCACCAGGCTTAGCATTGCTTATCTATTTAAGTTTTTTTTTTTAATGTTTCCATTTTTTAAGACTATAGTTGCTGTTCAGATATTAATATTCCAATAACATAATTACCAAGTGATAGTTTTCAGTTTCACTTGAACATTTTTAAGTAAAAAATACAGCAGGCAGCTGGATGAATGGCTGCCGGGCAACCCAACCACCAGGCCTAACGCTAACCCTTTGGACTGATATCAACATCCAATATTAATATTACATTTGTGGCCCTATACGATGCATTACTGTCACTGTCTCATGACCAACCCCTTCCAAAGACACAAACATAAACAGCAACAAGACGGACTAATATCAGCCCAGTTGTACATATTGAACTGATGCCAATATGTTAAAAAATTATATAGATACTGATGTTGATGCCATAATGTATTGTGCATCCCTAGTTTAGAATAAATCTCCACTATTTTTATTCGAGCTATTTAACTTTTACAGATCTTTATACAATTATCTGCAATTAGGTAGCTTTACTTGCTTAAACGGCTAGCCTGCAGTCGGCTGCTTGTCGCTCGCTGTTTTCTGACTTCTGTTTTTAAACAGCATTAATAAGAGGAATGGGTGGCGTCTCTTTCATTTCTACACCACAACTATCTGAGACAAGTATAGTAGAGTTCTTTCAGGCAGCTAACAAGCAGTGAGCAGCTAACAAGCAGTGAGCAGCAAACGGTCAGGCAGGGCCAATTCGGCGTTACACTAGGCTCCACACAACGAAATAAAACTGCCAGTCCATCTTATTAAAAGTAATCTTATAATTAATTTAGCAACAATTGTGCAGCAAGCTTTTGATCCTGCAAGCAGCACAGCAGAGATGTGTCTCAGTGAAGATGCACTTGTTTGAAGCCGAGGAATTGGACTTTGATTTACAGCAGTCATAAAACATAACAGTAAGCCTACCAGAAACAAGACAACAAATGGCCTGACATAAATATGAACTTTGGAATAGGCCAGGAGTCTAAAACTGATGACGAACATAGGCAGACTGAGCCAGGAGACCCACATGGACACAAACAGCACTGCTTTGGTTGGCCGGACACTCAGCATTGGCTCATAAAACTAAATATCTGCTTCCTCAAATGATTCTGCAAGAACAAAAAAAACTGAATTGCACCCATTTTAATATGCAAATAATGATAGGAACAAATAGGTAGACATGCACGATGCGTGACATGACTTCAGAGTTGCGTCATCACCATGGTGACCGGAGACAGTTCTGTGCCAAATTTTAGTAAAGATAAAAATAAAACACTGACAGGCAGCACATGTTTCCAAAGTAGAGAGTTTAGCTACTACTTGCCGGTATTTTTGTTTCTTTTCGGACAGACTAACGATGCAATGAAAAGACCAGGGGTTTTAACATGATGTCTATCTTAAATATATAGATATAATTATTCATACTTAATTTTAATTTATGTGCAAAAACATCTGCGTAGCACCGGTGACGTGCAGAAGGAGACCCTTTAAACTCCACGCCACCGCATTTCTGTACTGTGTTTGCTCAGAAAAGAAGTCAAATGTTTCCCACTTCTCCACTTCAACGACCGCAGCTGGTTCTGTTGGACTCCGGAAACCTGAAAAAGTTCGCCATGTAGCCGGCAGTTTTAAGAGCGAGAAAGGTGGGCGCAGGTCGGAAAAAAAAAAGGTCTTACGACGCGTACTCACGTTCTCCGTTATCTCGGACGGGCACCCACCGCAGCACGACGACTAACCACCAAGTTGGACTTCGCATAACGGAAATGTGCGGAGAGGCATCTAAAGTAGCATCTGAGCGCCGAGCAGAACAAAGTGGACTTCAGAGGGAAAGGTTCGCGTGGAAAAGCGCCTCGCTTTCTCTCTCATTGTGTCTGCATGCGACTGGCCTTCCACGACAGAAAAGAGGAAAAGAAACTTTCAGCCACGAACTTGATGTTCATTTCCGCCGTGTGAAGAAAAAAAAATGCCGCGGTCCAAGCGAGTGTGAAGCAGCTGTCAAGATGGACGGCGTAACGCCTGTCACTTCCGGTTTTGTACTTTCAAAATAAAAGGTTTTTTTGGTGGCTGAAAAATAAATCATTCTTACTTTCATCTCTGATCTCTAACCATCAATATGAGAATTCTTAATTTAATCTCTGAATTTTTTTCTTTTACTTTTATTTTAAAATTGTGACCCCAACCTCATAATTCTTATAATATTATCAAAATTCTGACTATTTCTCAAAATATTCATGTTAATCTCAGAATTTCTTTAGGACTCTGACGTCAATGCAAATGGCCTCATGGGAGCAACCAGTTTCAGTGACAGACATGTGAGTTGTGCAGGACAACTCACTTCCTGGAGAAACATGTCAGGTTGAAGGCCTGTATCCTCTACTTAGAGAAAAAGCATAAAAGGGTTTCATAAACCTAATTTCTCCTGAATGTTGAAGCTAATCTTTGTTTTTCTTTTTGTTTCCAACCATAATTAGAGAACCGTTTCAAATGTTTTGTACTTCTTGGTGCCAGGTTGGAAATATATCATGCTTTGAAACTTCTGAAGTTAAAATCCAATATGGCGTACATATTGAAAAAAAGTTAGTGATAGTTGTAATAAATTCTTCCAAAACATTTCTGACAGGTGGTTTCTCAGTAAATGAGCCACTCACGTGGGTCTGTTCAACCAGTATTTGTCAACATTTGCCACTTTACCTGAGAAAATAAAAAGATTAGAAATGAAAGTGGAGATAGTGTTCAAAATCAAATTGAAATTGCTCCATAAGAGAAAATGCAGGTGATCTCTAGTTTTTCACCAGCATGAAAAATGACTTATCCTTCTGTTCTAGAATGAACACAACACAATGGATGGATGGATATAACACACATATTACAAGATGTGAAGATGATTTTCAAAATTGTTTGAACGCGTTTTGACATTACTGAACGGTCTAAATGAAAATGGGTAGTTTTATTTTGAAATTCCGTTTTCAGGAAGTAGCTCCTCTGTCGTCGCGCTGCAGCCCAGAGTCTCAGGATCAGGAACGGAATGTGCAAGATGCAGAAAGTACTCAGACTGTCGCAAAACGTCTTTATAATATTACATTTTTAAGTAGGTCCGCCATAGTTGTAGATTGCATGCAAATAATCTCATGGAAATATACTCCAATATGTAATATTATCCGTGTTTTCGGACTTAAAGACCCTGCAAAGTTTCAGTTGAGGATGACATAAACAAGCCAACCCGCTCAAACTCAGTGGGGTGTAGTATCTCTATCAGCTTATGCAACTTGTTAGATCTCCCACCCCTCTGCCCCTCCACACACTAATTCACAATGCTTGATGGGTTGCATTTAAAGCACTTACGTTTGATTTTTTATTGCAGCAAGGCACATTTAAAACATGTATCCAGTGAAAACATGAAATGTATTTCCGGACATACTTTTATTCTGACATTGTTTATCCAGATGGCTACCTTTTGGGGCAGAAGTGTGAGCAGAAATGATGACCCAGACCAAGTTCTAAAACTGTTCCACAGTGACACCTGGTGAGACACAGGCTGCAGAGCATCAGACACGTTGGCGTTAATGACTGAAACTTACAGGAAACGACAACTTCAAACAGGAGCTCACCACGGATTTCTGCAGCGTTATTGCACGAAGCATTTTTATTGAGAAGTGAACACAGAGCATGTAAATGAGTGCAGCCAGAGAGAACCCACACATGTATATATGGAGAACATGCAGACTCCATGCAGAACGACCCCAGGTCAGGATTTGAACCCGGGACCTGCTCGCTGCGAGGCAACAGCTTCCCCCCTAACCCTGCTTTGTAATGACAGCAGATTCATTTCCATGCTCAGCTTTCAGGTTCATAAAATACAACATCCAAGCATGTATTACAAAATTACACGAAGCACCAGTAAAAAGTAAAGTTGAACATTTGCAATACTTTCATTAGAAAATATGCTTTTGTTCTTGAAATATACTCTAACCTCAAATTGTGACCAAAAAAACACAGTTAAAAAATGGTACAAATTTGTCCCGAGAGCTACAGAGACTTTCAAAGAACACGAAGTGTTTTTCTGTCATTATCCATGTCTATTTTCTTATTTTGTATTATTATTCTCATAGGGGGGCATCAAATATCAAGTGACCTTTGACTCCAAAACAGATTCAGGCACACCCTTGTATTGAACTTCTTAAGTTATTGTTTTTGTTGCTGGGAATAGAATGAAACATTTTGTGGACCAACAGAATAAAAAAAAAACACACTTGACAAGAAAAAGTAATTTTATTAAGGAGTCCGTCCGTCCGTCCGTCCGTCCATCCATCCATCCAGAAGGAAAACATCTGAGGCACATTTTTGGATTGACATTGACACATGTTTTGTGTCAATAAAATAATGGACATTAAATTGACTGGATTAAAAGAATACACACCTAAATTATTTTGCTCTTTAAGTTGGAAAATCATGTGACTATTTTGAATTAATATTGATTTTGATCTGCATGGGAAAAGGTTTAGACATCGCTCTAATATGACCTCTTTAGCCGGTCTCTGCGTCAAATTACATCTGAATTTATTCTTGTAGTGTTTTTAACATTATTGGACACACAGGTGAGCCCTTTATGACTCTAGGAAGGTCAGTGTCTTGGTTTAAAAAACAACCGATTTCTCGAGAATCTCCCTCAGAGTCTTGAATGAGCTTTGCTTCACAGTCCTCTGAAGGCTGTGGTTGTAACATTTGCTCAACTTCACCACAAATATGCCTGGACGAGCTACTTTAGAAACAACTGTTTGTGGCTTACCCTCCTTGTGAAGTTTGTGACTTTCTGTACGGCAACTGTCAAGTCAGCAGTCTTCCCCATGATTCTGTCAGCCATAACGTCACATTTCTCTATTACAAATTCCCATTTGGTCTTAGTTCATGTTCACATTTTCAGAGGCTTTAACTTATGTTTCAGAATCTAATTCTTCCTTAAAATAATATATTAAGTAAAAACTATTTTAAAAATGATATTCAGGTGACAGAGTGCTGCGTCCTAGATGCACAAAAGAGCGTTATCACAGATCCTTCCTCACAATAAACTTTATGATTACACCACTGCTGATATTTGAAGATTTTTCAGTTCTTGTATTGTTTTTTGCACAAGGACATACACACATTTTGTTTAAATAAATTACCTATGCTTAGTTTGTTAATTATAATAACTTTATTTTTTGCCCACACTGCACAATCTCTCATGCTTCTGTTTTTATATGATTTTTACTTTAGTTTGAATATTAATGTCCCTAATTGAATTTTCTGCTGGCTCCTGAATTTTCCATGCTGTGGAACAATAAAAGACATTTCTGTTTTGTTTCTATTCTATATTTTTATTTCAATAAGTGTTATCCACAATCATCTAACGAGCAGAAATAAATGCTCGCAAAGCGTCAGTAATAAATCTTTGTTTAATTTCTTGAACCGAGTGACCAAAACAGTAACATATTTTAACTTGGCACCATAGATACATTTTAATTATGAAAGCTCAAACCTTCAGTGGATTGAATATGCTTTAATAAGTGATTTACACAAAACATAGATATATTTGTGTACCGTGGTATAACATTGTACTATTGCTTTTTCTCTAAAAAAAAAAGACAGGAAAGTTCAATTATATAATGTAACACTGAAAATGCAACATAAAAGGGAAAATGCATTTTTCTCTTTTAAAAACATTTTACAGTCAAAATGAAACACTCATACATTCCTTTACCTTACAACTACACAAACATTACAATTATGTAAACATCATGTTTAAAAATGCATGTAAAACTTTAGATACCACGTTAAAAATTATGTAGGTATTGGCATTAAAAAACATTCTCACTGTACCTTTCCTATTGTCTGTGTGCACAAGCTGAGTGTTGATCTGGAATGATAGTGTGGTGCGTTGTTGCAGAGTACAGTAACTCACTCATTGTCAAAAAGTGATTGCATTAAGATGAACCTTTGGCAACAAGGAAACGTAAGGCAATGTTAAAATCACGTGGAAATGATTACAAGTTGTCTATTCTCAAGAAAACATAAGGCACATAAAAAAACAAATCAACTTTAAGATGGATAAAAATGTAAATAGCTTTAAAAGGCCCACTTTGAAGAAGTTAGTGTTCATTTTTAGTGTGGATCAGTAAATATCCAAATTGAAGAAAGTTGGGTGTTCATGTACGTTCCAGGCCTACAAGACGTCTTATCAGTAACATCCAAAGTAAATAAGTTGTAAATTCATAATGGAAACTCCAGACTGGATTGTGCATCAGACCAAGACAAAAACAGGAACTGGGACCAATAAATCCCGCCGTTAAACCGCCTCTTTTTCCACGGAGCATGCGACTCAACGGGGAATAAATGACAAGCACTCTTATGACACAGCATCGTCTGGCCGCTGGATAAGAGCGACTAAAAATAAAAAGGTTTCTATTGCCTTGATCAGAACATCCAGCTCTGCACATGGTCCCCGGTGACTGCGGCGAGGATGTCGGCAACCGCCAAGGCCTCTGGGGGGAAACCCAGGGAGCTTTGAGTGGGGAATGCAAAGCGCTGTTGATTTTATGTAGAAACCAGAACCTGGTGTAGGTGAACGATTTCTGTGTATTGACTGGAATCAGAAAATCAGACTGAAAACGCTCCGAGGGCAGTAGATGCATCTAATTACCTGACATCATAATATCGCACAAGTTTTTCAACATTGCGTCAAACTACATTGTATTTTAATGGAAACAAAAGAAAACCTAAAAATCCAGAAATGATCCGATTTAGATTAGCTGCACAGATCGGCTGCACTCCATCCGATCTGTGAGGAAGAAGGGTGGGAAAACATTTCAGTCTCTTTATGTGATAAGCCGGTATTGCTAGATCTTTCAGATTATTTGTGTTGGCCTATTACTCCTGATAATAATCTACATTCAAGTTTGTGGTGAAAAAGATTGAGGAGTATAATACTTTGGCAAGTCACTGTATAGTGTAGTATTTACTTTTAGTATGCTTCCAGATAACTAGACAGATTGGTAATCTTAACCCAAATGGTTGAAAACAAAAAGGAAAACAAATAGATGTTACAAACATAAAGGCAGCAACAGAAACATTTGCAGTGATTGATTTAGAAACACATTTTTCGGGTTGAAATAACCTGTATGACCACTCTGGGAGTTAAAGAAAATCTGATAATTCCCTTCTTAAGTTGTGTGTTCTTAATATTTTAAGAAAATTATTGAGAAAAAGAGAATATTTTGTGCTTCTCGATTGCAGAGCAGATAGTGTTAGATTATTGTTAAAAAAACATCAGATTCCTCTATAGAAGACAAGATTGGAAATGGAAATCAGTCCCAAATGTTTTGCTTTTGTTTAAATAATAAGGCTGATTATTGACATCAGACTGTATTTAATGTTTTGCTGTGTGGAAAGTTCAGGAAGCATTGCAGAATGACCAGAAGGGAATGACTGAACCTTTTCCTCCTCCGTCAGTCTACTGGCTCTGCAGCCACTGCGCTCTCAGCTCCTCCACCTCCCTGCCGTACCAGTCGTGGAGTTTGGAAAAGCAGGCGGTGTCAGGAGAGACCGGGCTCTCCAGAGAGGCTCCTAACCGCCGTGGTGGCACTGGCGGAGCCCTCCCTCCGTCGCCCGCACATCCAGACACCATCCCGGAGTCTGTGCAGCCGTCCCAGGTCACGCAGGACGGCGCTGCCTCTGCCGACCCGTTAGCCGAGGCGGATGGAAGTTTGCTCCATGCGACTCCGTTCTCCCTGGAGCTCCCGGAGATGAGCTGCACCTCATCCTGAATGCTCTTCTGAGCAGAGTAAACGGCGGCCATGGAAGGAGCGCTTGACGATGACGAGAGGGAAGACGAAGATGAAGAGGAGGATCCCCCGGACCTGGATCGCGCCACTTGATTCCGCCGGGAAGGCTTCGGCCTGGCCTGCTGGCCTCCAGCCCCGGCGGCGTCCTGGATCTCCTCCAGCTGCCTCTCCAGCTCCTTCACCACCAGCCTCATGTAGTCGAAGCTGGCTCTCGACAGAGCCTTCACCCACGACTCCATGGCCGCCTGATTCTCCGCTGCCAGCTTGTACACCCGCGCCTTGGCGCAGTCGAACTTGATGGCGAAGGCGAACTCCTCCACGGACTCGCACAGCTCCACCGTGCAGCCCTCCAGGACGATGACGCCGATGGGCTCTCGGCTGTCTCGCTCCTCAAAGTAGAAGAGCATGTTGCCCTTCAGGATGAACCAGCGGCGGTGATATGCCGTGTTGCGCTCGCCCTTTTTGAACAGGAAGCCCGTTTTGTCTGGTGGGGAATCACAGGTGGCGTAGTGCGCCACGCTGCGTTCGTTTAGCTTCATCTTCTCCGCCCTGAAGAGTCTTTATTCACCTAAATGAAGAAGAAACATCAAGAAACCTCAAGACAGATATTATTTATAAGCTACAGTGGGTATTTTATAGAAGTGCACTAACTTAGGGATGCATCGATTGCAGTTTTCTGCTGGATTGCCAATTACCAATCTTTTACCAATTCCAATTTTGTAGTTTTCTGAATGTCGCTAAATACAGCAAGAAAGACGGCGAGTCGGTAAGAGAGGGGTGGCGACTTGTTAAATGCAAATGTGCAGAATTGACGTGGTGGGTCGGTCTGTCAATCAAAGGCATTTAAACACCACTCAGTGGGAACATGTCAGACGAGAACAGTGGATGATTTTTAAACCTTTGCTGAGGCAGATCGAATCAGTGGATAAAACCGGCTTCACGTGCAAGAATCAGCCAATCACTGATATTCCAAAATTAAGGAAATCGAAGTCAACAAATCGGCACGCTTCCCTTACAAATGTCATATTCTACAATAACAAATGTGACATTTTTTCTGAATAATGACACTATTACAAACCAGTTAGGTAATATGGCTGATAACATGAATTTGTGCCATGTAAACAGGTAGATCATTCCTCATAAATCATTTGTTCTGGACCCAGCAGCAGCTCGCCCTTTAACAAACACTCAGTCAGGAACACATTACACCCGTTTCAGCTTCACTACACTGGCTTCCCATCTGCCCCAGAGTAGATTTTAAACTTTTATTACTTGTTGAAGCTCTTAACATCCTTCCTCTCCATTATTTTTTCAAGTTGTTGAGCTTCTCCAGTGGCACCAGGTCCTTGAGTTCGGGCAGTCACTTATTCCGGAAAATCAGCTCAATTCAAAAATGCTTTACCCCAAATGCGAACAAAATGTTGTCATAACTCATATCATTCGGGTATCTTCAAAAAGTCACGTGGATGGGGATGCTGTTGGGAGGAAGGTGTCTGGCTGATGTCATCAGTTATTGGTGAACACTGCTGCTAATCCATCTCATTTACTTTTGCCGCTCCTCTTTAAATTTCTGAATGATTAAGCCGAGCAGGGAGACGTTGGAGTGGGCGATATAATCCTTGCCCATAACGATGGTTTGGACTTCCCCCCTTTTCTCCAGGAAGCGTCCTTTTCAACTCTCCTGATAACATTGTTCAGATATTTTTTTTAAGCTTTTCAGCTTTAATCAGCTCTTCCCAGTTGTAAAAACAAGACAGTCTTGCCACGGTTACACATCATAGCAACTGTTTTAATGTCTTAATTGTTCTACCTAAAATTTTATACCTGATCTTAGCATTACTTGAAATGGCATTGGTATGTTTTAACTTACAGTAGCATCCTGTAGTCTACTCCCTACTGGCATATCAGCTAAATCAGTGGTTATAGTTTCACTTTCTCCCCAGCTGCAGCACAGAAAGGTAAAAACAACCTGACTGGACCTTGAAAAGCCTGATTGTTGCATTTTTTATTTTTTTTTTACTGTGTATAATCACATGTCCCACCAGTAAACCAGGACTTGGAACCTTCCCATTGAGTAAACAGCCACTAACCCCTGCTGTAAATCCACCTGCTGTAATGTCTCTGCAGCTCCTGGAGCAAAAACACGTCAGGATAAACAGAGGTCACTACTTACGTTCTGGTCTCATCACCCCAGTGCTCCCATCACATCTGGACCTTCCAGCTCATCGGTTCTCCGCCTCCATCATCATCCCGTCTCCTCAAACGCAGAGCAGACAAAAAAAAAAAAAGCCACATTTTACCAACACCGGCCAAGAGAAACGCGGTTTAAAACGGTCGGGATTAGCCGTTTCTTCCACCTCGGAGGGCTAATCCATCGCGTCTGCGGGAGGGAGGGGAGGCTGTGGGGGGATGATTCAGCCCTCAGCGGGGCTGCTGGTGGGTCACAAGCTTTTGACGCATCAGCACTTTGCGCCAACTTATCTCTGACGGCCCAACAGTTTCATTAACGCGAGCAAAAGCAAGAGGAACTTTTTGCCGAACCCTGTGAGAAACAGCCAGCCTCACTGCCTGCGCCAACTGGCCAGGAGGAGGCATTTAAACCCCACTCAGCGGGAACGTTAAAACGCGTCCAATTGCGGCTCGTGAAAACAGCCCGAGTACCTGCGGATAAAGGCGACTCCTTCCTCCTCCAGGCTGGTGTTCTCTGGTTCCTTTAATTTGTAGTTCTTTCTTTCTTTCTTTTTTCTTTCGTTCCTTTCCTCCCTGTCACGTGACCAGCCAAAGGGGGCGCTTGTTGTGCTGTACCAGGCGCGGCTCGCGTGGGCGGCTCCACCGTCGCTCCGGGGAAGCGCTCGCGTTCCCCGAGTAAAGCTGGATCACAAAAAAAAGTGCCCAACAAACACGTCGTTGTCCTTGGAAATACGAAGCCTCGGTATTTCCCCACATACTCAAACAGCCGTCGGAAGCTCCGATAGTTACTGGGAAAAATGTTTAGACCATAAACGTCTCTGTGTTTTTTGTGCTGCAGTTACAGCTGCAACTTTTTTTGTTTTTCCATCTTTGCACATCCAGAGAGGCATTTTTGCTCATTCCTCCTTCTCACTTCCAATGAACGAGCTGTTTTAAAAAGAAAGCAGTGTGCTTCAGTTACATCAGTTTTCATAAATATCAAAATCCCATATAAGGATGTGTATCAATTGTGGTTTTGCAAAATTTTATGGTTTTTTTTCCTTTATTTTAAACCTGAAAATATGAATAAAAAATATAAGTTGTCTATTTGCAAACTCCTAATAGCTCATAATGCACTTTAATTATCTGGTTTGAGTGAATAAAGGGCTCTTTGGATTGTAAAGGTGTCAAACCCTTGCACTAGTCCATTCTAAGAAATTACAATACCAGAGGTATCCAACACTCGTTACAACACAGTTTATTGTTTTCTTTCAATTGTTTTTTTTCCCTTCTTTCATCCAGATCAGATTGGTAGAGTGCACAGCAAATATTAGTCCTGTTATAACAGATTTTCTCACCTAAGCGGCAGATCTCTGTAGCTCCTCCAGAGCATCTGTGGTCCTCTTGGCTGCTCCAGTTCAGATGGATGACACGTTTTTGGTATGTTTTTGGTTCCACTGTTCAAGTGATGGACTGAGAAATTTTTTTTTTCTGGAGAAATTTAAACCACAATTTTTATTTTAGTATTTAAAACTGCTTTAAAAAAGAAACTATATGTATTAATTACTTGACTTCTGAAGGCAACTGTTAATATCAAGTTTTATTTAGAAGTATTAGGATAGCAAGGCATATGTTGTTATTTATGTATTTATTTATTTTGTTAGTTTTTTTGTTGGATAAAGGGTTGAAAACAAATATCCATTTTCTTTCCACCACAAAATTATGCCCTGTCTTGTAACAGTCTGCATTAAAATAAATAATAGAAAAGCGAGCTTTGAGATATTGTTCTTGAGTTAGATAGTTCATCAATTAGTAATTTAATTGGCAGAGATTTCTTTCTTTCACAGACGAAATACCAAGAACTTCATCTATAAGTCCAGCGCCTCAACACAGTTTTACAATCTTAGACGTAAGTAAAAAAACAAAAACAAATCAATCCGGGAGCTGTAGCTCATCCAGAATGCTGTTGCTGTTCTTAAATCAATGCACTTTATGAAAGGCCAGATTTTATAATCATTTTATTGTTCAATACTGAATGTTCTTGGATCAAAATACAATAAAATGTGAGTTGGAGGAACTAGTCATCAGAGGCCTGGGAGCACTTTGTTCCCGTTTCTCAACGCCTGAATGCCTTGAGAAATGGATATAGGCAGAAAGCATTCGGTTCTTTTAATTAAAATAGACGACATAATCAGATCAAATTTTTCGTTTTTCTTTTTTTTTTTTTTTTGCAAAATGCTTAAATATTACATTTTAAATGTTTTTCGTTGTGCACTCATTGATTACTTCGAATCAATGAGTGCACAATATTAGTTAGTTTTTCACCTACTTTAACTGCTTTCATTCATCAGCTCTTCAAGGTGCATTTGCTGCACTAAGTAGATTTGGTCAAAATAACCTCTTTTTTCCACATACATGGTAGCCAGATGTCAGAAATGTATGACAACCAATCTGCAGTTGTTATCCTTGAAATAGGTTTTTGATGAATATCTGTCAACATACACACATCCAGAATTAGGAATTCAGAAAGCTCTAGAACAGTTCATAGTCATTAGTTCAGTAACTGACTAACATGTTTTCAGAGAGAACTTGTTTACATATTTATTAGAATTGGCAAGTATTTTAAACATGTCATAATAAGTTATTTTATCTCCAGTAAAAATATTATTTAGTTTCTCTCTAGTCTATTCAGATTCACACAAGATTATGAAAAGTTCACAAAACAAAACTAGAAATTTCCAGCATCAACAACATAACCCTCGAGTCACAGCAGAAAGTAATGCTGTGTACATTACATGTGTTAACTCTAACAATGAAACCAGAGATGTTTCCCAGCATACACAGAATAAAACATTAGTAAGGGTTTGAGCTGTCACAGGAGAAAGCATCATGTTGAAAACAAAGGAAACCAGCTTAGACTTGGGGAAAAGACATGTCAGCACTCACAAAGAAGAAAAAGGCCAGACAATGTTATCACAGCTTTCCTAAGTGTCAAGAACTGGAGTTAAGGGCATCAACAACAAACTCCCCTCAGCACAGGACAAGCCCAGTCGAGGAAGGAAGGCAAGGATTATAAAGAACTAGAGAGAAATGTGTGTAAAATCTCTTTCTGATTAGATAGAAATTGTAGCCTCAAAGAGAAAGATGAACCCTGTTCAGGAATGAATTGTGTGGTCGCAGAACAAAAAAACTCCACTTGTGCAGAAATGAAACCTTCAAGTGAGACTGAAGTACGAAGACACCCCGGAGAAAGATCGTCATGTCCGTCGTTCAGCTGAGAGAAAACTAAAGCTCTTTGGCCATAAAGAAATTGCTTATGATTTGAGAAAGAAGGTAGAGAGAGGTGTATAACCAAACACTGAAACACAGCTTTAGGAGGATTGTGCTGCAGAGATGCTCGTTTACATATGGAAGTGGAAATACTCTTAGGGAGGAAGTAATCTGACTGATGAGGAAGAGTAACCTTTCATCATCCTCAAAATAAGTGTTTTATTTTGATAGAAATTTGATTTCTGAAATTTTGAAGGATTTCTATCAAAGTCTGCCATTAAAGATTTTGATAGAAATCCTTATGCAATCAGCAGCGTCACTGGATCTGAGTTGTCGCTTTGTCTTCCAAAATGGCAATGCCTCAAAACATCTGGTGAAGAACTGGCTCCAGATAACCTAAGTGAATGTTCTTTTTTGTTATAGATGGTATCTCCTATTTATTAAGTACAAAAACATGTTTTGACGAAATCTTCAGATACAATATATTTACACATATAACTCAGACAACTCCTCCATGACTCAGTGGAGGTGCACCATATACAGAGGCTATAGCCCTCAACACAGTTGTTCCCGGTTCAATTCCTCGCCCCAAGCCATTTGCTGCATGTTTTACCGTTGTTTCTCTGTCTGCCCTTCCTCCTACTGTGGCATAAAGGTTACCATTAAAAACACCTAAAGGGATGACATTATGTACTTCCCAAGCACATAGTCATGTTTTATAGCAGTCAAGTAAATATGTTAGCTTAATAAAATTGTATCAAATTTGACATCTTGAAAATGGGCTTCTGCCTCTTTAAGAAGCTCCTGCTCTTTCTGACCCTGTATTCAGCACGACATCACAACAAATAACTGTACTTGAAAATAGTTTGCATGATGAGCTCAGCAGACTTGAAGTTTCACCAAACGTTTTCTAATTGCTGCTGCCGCTAGTCTGGAGGAGCTAAGTGGAGAAGGCGAAGGAAAGGTGTGCTCTCTTTTAAGAAAACATAAAATCTACCAGTTGAAGGCAAATGCCAGAGGGCGATCATATCTACCGGAGCTTTAAGGTCGCAGAATGGACCGATATTTTACGGGAGCTATGTCGGAGGTTTACTGAAAGTGACAATGAACGATTGAAGCTTGTTATCGAAAATAAAAGATAACCATCAGTACCAGGAGTAGAATTTGGGCTCAAGTGGCTTTTATTTTTTGTGGAATAATTTAGCTTCTGTGTTAAAAGTAAAATCTTGTAAGGATCTAAAGTTAGGATGTTTGAATGACAATAATTGTGTTGGTGTTTTAACAACTAGGCACCTTTCTACTTCTCGACATCAGTACCGGATTAATTATGCCGCTATTCATGCTTCTTAAACTTAGTTTATATAACTCCAACTAAATTGCATATTTCCATCCATAATTACACTACACTTCTGAATAATGATTCTTTTTTAATTAATAACAGTCAATGCAATTCAGCTGCAAGCACAAACACATTCCTCTTTGGATTTTTTTTTTATTTGCTCAAGGGCACCAAGGCAGTGAGTTAAACATGCATTCTTTTTTTTTCCTCCAATGCAAATTACCCAGCACGTTGTTTCCAGTTCACCGGTTTGAACGCGTCTGAAGGACTGCCTCTCTATCCTCCAGGCGGTCCTCTGTGACCCTGCCCTTCGTTAATATGGCGCTCAGACTGCGGCCCGTGTCATATAGTCTTTATAAACTTGACAAGACACCATTAGTTTGCTGAAATATCTTGTGCAGACAGTTCACGGCCCCCGAGCATCGCCAGCTTCTATCTCGTCACGCTAATCTCAAGCTAACAGATGCAGCTGATGATGCCATTTAGTGGAGTTTTCACCCCCCTCCTGTTTTTTGGAACCATTTGCTCGCGCTGCCATTTTTTTTTTTTTTCTTCTGTTAGCGATTTTGATTAAGTGCAATGCACTTTGCAGTCAGTTTAATTTCCTCTTTTTGGCACTCGGTTCACAGAGTCATGACATCGTAAGAGATTTGTCTCCAAGAGCACAATTTCTAAAAATCGAATGCAGACGGCGGGGAAAAAGTCAACAGTGAAATATTTTTTTGACGGGGGAGTAAAGTATACACACACACACACACCATCACTGGGTGCAAAGTATTATTTACTTCTCACAAGTTAGTTTCAAAGAGTTTGTGAACACACAAGAAAAATATCACTGACAGCTTTCTTTTGAACTCGACATGAATTCAGTCTGTGTCCAATGAGAAGAAAGAGGCAGAGTTTGTTTGTATTCTGTCATTGGTTTTAAAAATTGCACATTTTGTCACATTAAAACCACAAACTTTAACGTTTTGCATTGGGATTTTATTTCATCGTGAAATATGCCTAAATACAATCCAGTGCTTTCAGTTGCCTTTAGATTTTAAATAATAATAAAAGTTTACCTTCCGAGGTCCATGGTGACTCTGGAGGAGCTGCAGAGAGCTACTGGACATCCGTTAGCCATGCTCTACAAAATGATCTGACCTTTACAGGATTTAAAAAGTCACGCAGGGGATGCAGCAGATATGTGCTCTGGTCAGATGAGACCAAAGCTGAAATTCTGGCCTAAATGTAAAAACACATTACCCACGATGACAGCATCTCCATGGTCAGACAGGTAGTGGCAGCATCATGCTGTGGTGACGTGCATTTTCATCAGGACTGGCAAGTGAACGAGAAGATGGATGAAGCTAAATACAAGACTATCCTGAACAAAACATGTACAACCAGAGCTACTGTCAAATAGTTAAAGCACATTCAAGCGGACCAGTCAAAGTCCAGACCTAAATTCAGTTCAGATTGTTACATAGATGCTCTTCACCCAACTTAAAGGCTCACCCCTCAAACATTTGCAGCCATAATTGGAGCAAAAAACGGCTCTGCTGTTATTATAACATTAACTAAAGAGGGTTGAATACCAATGCATCGCACTTTTCAGATTTTTATTAGAAGAAAAACTTAAAACAGTGTATAATTTTACATCCATGTGACAAATTATGCACCACTTTGTGTTGGTCTGTTACACAAAACCCCATTAAAATACACAACAGTTTGTGGCAGGAAAGTGACATAATGTGAAAAATGTTTTTTGTAATTACAAGTGACTCGTCTGGAAAAGCTGAATAGAATATGATCCGATTTTTATTTTAGAGACTGGAGAATGAACCTGATCAACAAGCTGAGAGGATATGAAGAATACTGTAGCGAGAACGAGTCGTACCTTGGACTCATTTAGACATCCTCTTTGTAAAAATGCATAGAAAAACACAGTGAGGGCAGGACAGAGTGAAGGGCCAGTCATGCATTCATTCATTCACCCAAACCTCCCTTCTGATAAAGCACAACAATTATTTGGTTTATGACACTTTTCTTCTTCATCGTATTCTTTTCTTAAAAAAAAAACAAAAAAAACAAAAGACCTTTGTTTAATAAAGTTGTTTTTTTATCTCTACAAACACAATCTTGTTCATCTGCCTTTCTGGAAAAAGTACTATATGAGGGAATGTCATATTTTGTCTATAAACCTGTTGTCCAACGTAATATCAAAAATATCATCTTTTTAAATGTTAAAGGTCTCTGTAGAAAAAAATGGCTGAAATATATAGATATCAAACATGTTTAATTATATTTGTACACAAATAAAATTTGATGCAAATTATCGCCTCCTCAACAATCCTTTAAAGCTGTAATTTGCCACATTGGACTGAATCTCTCTGCTTTTTAACCGTGGAGTATGCATGGATGCATGGCACCGGTTGAGCAAATACAGAAACGATGGACGTTAACGACTGGACAGACCAGCGGCCAAATCGATATTCATTTCCAAACACTGGTCGCAACAGAAACAGTCCAGGGTTGGGATATGGCACATACTGACATCATACTATTTTCTCCTTTTCTGCAGTCCAGCAGAGACGCTGTTTTTTTCTCCCAAGGCGGGCCTGTCGGGCAATCTGTGCACAATTATGATTCTTAAAAGGCAAATTCCATCGGTTGAGTGGAGCTATTGATTTCCATCTGACAGAGCAAAAGTCTGTGTTGGCGTCAATCAAACACCGATTGACATCATTTCAACCCGCATCTTGTGAGGCTTCATCCAAATCCGCCTCATTACTTTTCTGGGCAGCAGTCCGATCTAATTTAGACGGTTTTATGAACAAACATATCACTCGCAGCGGCCGGCTCTCTTGCCTCGCCTTGTTTTGGAGAGTAATGTTTTTTTTTTGTCGTTTTTTTTTCCACCTGTACAGCTGTCGCCTGAAAGTTGTTTCATGCTCAGAAGAGGATATTGTCTTCTGTCAGTTCAGAGCCATTAGCACTTTCAAGCACCAGAAGGCTGATGTTTGTGCTCCTTCCTCCCTTATCAACCCGGGTCGATTAGAGTGTGAAGCCAGCATCCACTCCTTTCAGAGCTCAAGGATCTCAATGGGCCCTGCAGAGGAGAACAAAAAAAAGGGAGACATTAATGTGGATATCTGACTGCACAGAGGAGAGGCACTTGACAGTCGGAGCAACAACAATTGCTTTTTATAGAGAGCCAAATGAAAGGTATCACCGCCCAGTCACAGGCGCCCGGCGCCACCTCCGCAGGTTATCAAAGTGAATGGGAATCATTTGACGCGTTTTCCTCTGTGCATTACAACCACTTCTTAGAGAGCTGTCGTCTTCAGTCAGGTCTGGAGCAGTAGGTCACCGAGGACAGACAACATTCTGGGCCACTGTTGCTCTCCTGCATCTGATCCAGTTGTTGAGATGTTTCTCTCTCCAGAACACGAAGCAGCTGAGCCCTCTATGTTTTCACTTCAAAGGGGCGTGAAAGCCTCAAATTAAGCCATCGAATCTCTGTAGGTTGCACTGGACCATCATGGCCTTTGACTCTTCCTTCCACGTGTGGCTGCATGACTGCCCCATTAGCGCTCGCTCTTTGTACTCTTATGCTTTGATGTATCCCTCATATGTATCCCTTTAAAGTCATAATTTATGCAAATGACCTACTCACTTTCCAGCATCATGACTCGGTTTGACTCATGGGCTCAGAGGACACAATGAACTGTAAGAAAGTAAACCTTACATGCACCAGATTTATATCTGAATGTGTTGTTGTTCTGAAATGATTACACTAACTAAATATTTCCAGAGGTTGAAATTCTTTTTTAAGGCACAAAGGCAACATTTATGGAGATGCACTGATCAGAATATTGTGGCAAATTTTATTTAATCAACATCGATTTTAGTCAAGTTTGATTTCACTTTTGCACCAACAAAAGTTGTAAAATCCCAGCAAAGCAGCTTGATGAACTTGACTGGCAACTAATCAGAAAGATGAGCTCCGCAAATAACGTTACAGCAAATTATTTCAACTCATTTTTTAAATTATGGTTGAAAAACAGATTAGAGTTGATGATGAGAGAAAAATGATTAGAATAAAATGTTTTTATTTCCCAGATTTCTGAGCCCTTCCTCAGGGTCGCGGCCCCTGCCTTGAAAAATATTGAGACAGTGAACAAAAGGTGGATAATAGAAAGGGATTGGAAGGTTGGATGGGCAGGAAGTTAGACAAACACATGAATGGATAGAAAAACCTGAGGTATGGCAGAACAATGGACAAATGGATGGATAAATAAATAACTGGGCAGATGATTGCTTGGAATAGATGGATGTATAGTCTGACAGACTGACATGTAGACAGATGACCAGACGGATGGATACGACTTTAAGACATACGTATCCAAACCGGTAAAAACTCTTAACCTTCATTTTATGTTAGAAATGAACCTTTAATTCAGGATCTTCTGTGCAGACACAAGCCCTCTGGCATGCAGCGTCATAATTGCTTGTTTAATTTTGTTTCACGCTTCCTCGTATCGTTTTCATTTTATGTGATTATATTGAAATGTAGCTCATTGAGGAAAACAGAAATCAAAGTAAATGATGCATGCAGAACGAGGACGAGCAAACAGACAACCGTGTCTCTTCGCAGGACTATCACCAGCAGCAATCAGACGGAGAAACAACTGCTAATTAATATTCACTGGCAAAATGTGGGTCTCTCTCTGACTGTCGAGTTTTATTACTCGCTGAGTGTTTGCCAGGTTGGAAAATCAAATCAGACAACAGGAGGAGTAGGAGGATAATAAACACACATTTGACTGCAGTTGGGCAGAAGTAAATCAGTTATGACCTACAACAGGGAGCTGCACAGGTAACATTAAGAGGACATTAGAGGTGATTTCAGATTTATGCATACGAGTTTTCATAATTTAAGAGTGAAGTTAATAAGCCCTTGACTTAAATTCACCTCCTTGGATGTTCTACCCTTTTGTTTCTTTTACAAATCAACCGTAGTCAACATGTGTCTTTTTTTAAACAATAACCAATAAGTAAAAAATGATTTCTGCAACATAATGACAATCAAACACAAATATTTTCTCTGACTTCATTGGAATGAATGTTAATGCAGCCACTTATTTTAAGTTCAACATTTTATTTCATTGTCATTATTTTGTGTAATCAGTTTTCTGTTTGACAAGATTTTTTTTGTGTTAAAAAATAGATGCTGTCGATCATGATTGATTTTAAAAGCAATGAAAAGGGTAACAGACCCGAGGGGGTTGAATACTTTCCATAGGCACTCTTAAACACAGAAACTAACATCTTCTTTTGCAGCACAAAGTGTTGTTTCTTTGATAACAGCAACCTCACCCACATGTACACGGAGACGCATGCAAGCAGAGAGATTGTTGTGCATACAGATGCTGCTGAGTGGGAGTGAAGCATCAGCCAAGGGGAAAAGAGAGAAAGAAAGAAAGAAAGAAAGAAGGAAAGAAAGAAAGAAAGAAAGATAGAAAGGAAGAAGGAAAGAAACAGTGAGCGCAAAACGGAGATACAGAGATACAGCGAGAGTAAAAAAAAACAGAGCTGGGGTACGAATTAGAGCGGTGAGCTGGAGGGAGTGGGTCAGTGCCGTTGATTCAGGCCTGACTCACAATGGAGGCGGTCGAGATCCACCTCCTTCCTGCCCATTACAACTTTATCTTGGAGCCTAGAGCTCTGGAACACAGATAGCCTTTAAAAGACAAAAAAACAACAAAAAAACCCAGCAAAACACTCCCACAGACGTGATCAGGGAACCGTGGTATTTTGCTAACAGGAGCAACCTCATTACAAATTATGAGAGTATTTAATAATGTCTTGTGAAAACAGAGGCTTTTCTACTTACTGAATGTCAAAATATTCTCTCTGATAAACACGGGTTTAATCTTGCATTAACCATTAGCTGTTTGTCATGGTGTCTTCAGAGTTTATTCTGCAAGAATGAAGCAATATTTAGTGTTATTCTGTGGCTCAATACCAGCATTAAATTATGCAGTAAGATGGGAAACTGCCAGTGAGCGGGTACAATTTGCAATATTTTGAACTTTTAAATCAAGTCCTTATTGTACAGTAAATAAAACACAGCGACTTGTCAAACGACTGATGCTTTCTGTATAACTTTGAGTCAACTAATATCAACAGTAACAGGGAACAAAAAAAGGGATATTTGGACAGCTTCATTTTTACAGTGTTCTCCAAAAACATTCACATCTTAGGACTTGATCACATTTTAGCAAACTGAGCCAGGAACTACATTTTGTTTGTGATCAATCAAATAAAAAGTAGTGCCTGACCATAAAGCTGAAGATGAAGGACAGGATTTTTAAGATTATTTAAAATTTGAAAAAAATTTCTTATTCTAAAAAAAAAAAGAACAAACAAACAAAAAAAACAATTTAGTCGCCCACCAGTGTTTTCAACTTGATGATTTCGACCCTTGTGGACACCACTGCTGTAAACCTTTCTATTGTAGCTCCGGATGTGAGTTTGGGTTTGTTATCCTGTTGGAAGGTGAACCTTCATCCCAGCCTCAGGTCTTTTTCAGCCTCCAACAGGTTTTCTGTCTAACCAACGACTCTGACCAGCTCCTCTTTCCCTGCTGAAATAGAAACATGATGTTTACAATTTTATCCTTGTTGTTTTCCCATCTTTATGACTTTGTTCAGTAATGCTCTCTAACAACCCGTGAGGGCTTCACAGAATAGCTGGATTTATACTTTACAAGCGCAACTGGTTGCGTTGGGTTTTATGAAGGGGTATTAAAAGGATTGAGGGAAGAAGCACCACATTTTAAAGATTTTTTTTTCCCAACTTCATATTTATGCACTACTTGGTGTTGGCCTAACTCATAAAATCCCAGGAAGACTCATTAAACGTTTATGGGTTGCAGTTTGACAAAACATGGGACGTGAATATTTTTGCGGAGCGCTGCACCTCAGCGTTTGTATAAAGGATCTTCTGCAAGATCATTTATGTGTGTTATCACTGGGTTGCAGCATGAATGGATTTTTAAAAGGAGCTCTCCTCTGTTTATTTCCCAGCATTTTTAAAACCCAGCTTAAATATTCCCGCCTATCAGCTAGGAAAATAAAAGCAGATAAGAGGGAAGTATCCTTTTATTCAACTGATTCCAGCCCCACTGTGTCAACGCCTTTCGCTTTGGGTAAACAGTGCTTCAGTAAGTAAGGATGCACTGCAGAAGAAGAGCCCTCCCATGAACTGCATATAGTGATGATACTGGCTGACTCTTTTCGGCACTAATGTGAATCCGTGTGTCTGCATGCTGCTGCCAGACTCATTAGGTCTCACTGATACAAGATAAATAGAGTGAATGTTTCACACTGAGCAGTCATCAAGAGGCCCAAAAAACACACAGCAGCAAACATCATGCATATGTCTCTTCTCCTCTCTCTTCCACACTTTCCTTCTTGGCCTCTACCCGACTCCACGCTGTAACTCAGTCGCTCCTTTTTTTGTTGCCGTTTTCCTCACGGCTGGAAGTCTGCTGATCCCTAATCCAGATGCCGATTTTAGATTGTAAAGCTGACGAGTTCACGGATCTGATTTAGTCATCATCTTTTGCTTTTTCATACCCTGATTTTCTCATCTATCCACCCCCTCAATCCCAGAAAATAATAACCCCTTCCCCATTTCCTAAAAAAAGCTCACCTACATCTTGAACTTGCTGTGCCTTTGGCTGATTCCTTGCTTTAGGTCTCCCCACCACCCTCAGCTGCTCATCCTTCCTGTTTAACACAAATAATATGTGCAGCAGCAGTTGGGAGCTTTGTCTAGTCAAAGCTAGGAACATAGGTTGGTACAAAGGCTGTCTGAGGCAGGGCTGTTATCTTCTGTTGTCTAATGCGGCTAATTAAGGGCATCGCTGGGAGGAAGGTGCTACTATTCTCATCTAACTCAAGGGTATGCTGTCTCCCCAAGTCTGCCAAGCTGACATGGACTTGTAGAAACACATACACAACTATGAAAGGCGTGCGCACACACATATATCCCTTACGCTTGGTCTCCGAAACAATTATTTGCTCCCCCCTCACACACACACACACACACGTGGCAGTCTTAGGCTTTATTAAATATACTTCCTAATAATAGAAGCTGATAAAATGGAGAGTGCTTCTGCTGAAATTAGGCTGAGATGGTATTATATTAGCGCAGGATTTTCTTTTTTCCAGATGGATTATCAGTATTTAAGAGCAGAACTGATAAGCTTACAGATGATTTAGTCTCATAGATATGAGAATAGGACAGTCGGTCCAGCCTTCTCAGTGAGCGGAGGCTGGGTGAATCAGCACGAGTGAGAGTCGACGAGAATTTTTTTCGCTCTGAATTTGCTCACAAATCAAAGGTGTGTGTGTGTTTTTTTTAAAGAAACATTTCTCTCTCCCTCTCCACCGTTCCAGCTACTCTTCCCTCATTATCTCTTGCTTTTTTCAATCCCACAGTCTGATAACGTCAGAAAAACGCCACTTGGACTGGGAAGCAATGAAGGAGAAGTCAGAATGATTGTATTCATACAGATCTGCGCAAAGATCCAACTCAGTATTCAGGCACAGTAATGAAACGACTTCCTATATGACCTTCTGTTCATATGTATTGATTTGTGCTTGCAGTTCTGGTCAGCAACTTATGTCCTCTCCACAGAGTGAATGTCATCCTAGGATTTATTGATGCATTTGAACTGTACAAGATATATGCACTAAACTATTTTGGAATCATAGTGTTTTTTTTTATTCTAAACGTTCAAAATATTGGTAAAAGCCTAAACGTATATTTGCACCACCACCACCGATTCAGATAAATGTTCAGTGCAGAGAAACCACACACACACAGACGCACACACACACGCACGCGCACTTTGCTACCATTTCGGTGTGGATATCTGACCACTCCTCTTATTAGAAACTGTGAAGTTGAATACTTTATTAAGTTTTCTGGGACAGGGAAAGAATTTCAGCATAATACAAGGATTGATTTATCTATTCCAGAACCAGTTTCATTGTGTGTTTGGGATCATTTTCATGTTGGAACAACCAGTTGTGTCTAACTTTCCACTTTCTGATCCAAACTGTTATCCTGGTTAGGAAGATTAAGCTCAAACCATCAAGTTACTGAAACTCCAGTGTAACTGTCCACAGCGAAGCAAAGTTAACTTGGACTGAGACGGTACCAACCAAGAAAGAAGCCCCTTTGCCAAAATGGACACACACCAGCGACTGGTTTTTGGGCTGGACAATGCAGGCTAACATTATGTTTCTGCAGCTAAACAAACTGGTGGCAGCGAGACAGTTTTTCTGTTTGGATTATGAGCTGTATTTGGATCCTGAATGCTGCTCTCTGCTAGAAAATCTTGATGCATTTTTGTTGTGCAGGAGAAGAAAAATCAGGAGCACAACAGCCATTCAGAAATGTAGCCTAAAAAAAATACTTGTTGCTTCCAAAGGTAACATAATCAAAAGTCCATACCATGCTTTGTCATATTCTTTTCAGTCCCCTGTAGTCATTTTTTCAAAAAGGTTTGACTTTTGGTTCATTCCTACTCTTTTAGTTTATTCTCGCATTTTGTTCTTTATGCATATAGATTTTGTTCTCTTCAGTTAGTGTTATTTTTGTCCCTCCTTGATTTGAAGTTTCCTTTCCTCTCAGTTCTTCTCCGATGTTTATTATTCACCTGTCTTCCTCCTGCCAGTTCGCACCGTTCCACAGCTATTTTCCATCCTCCGCCTGCACTCTGCCTCAGCTGTTTCCCATCTGCCTCTGATTAGTTCTGGTTTTCCATCTCTACCTCCACGCTTCTCCCTGTATTTAAGCTCTTGGATTTTCATTGTTTGTTACTGGGTTCTCCTGTAACTCTGCGGTTTTGTGTGTTATCCTGTCTGTTTGCTTCCATGTCCCACTTTATCTGCATTTGCTTCTGCAAGTTAATATTTATTAGTAAATTTCTCCAATTGTTTAGGGAACAATGACTTTTTCCAAATCAGTCCAAGTTGATTCCAATGTCTTTTTTCCTTTAACAAATGAAATCATCATTTGAACTCTGCTCTTTCCTTTTACACAGGTTATCTTAGGAATTAAAATTTAAGTGATGGATCTGAAACGCTGAAGTGTAAATAAACAAAAAAAGCAACAAGATTAATAATCACATTTTGATTTCATATCATTTTAGCTCCAATAACAAAATCTTTAACATTAAAGTTTGATGTTGTACCATCTTTCCCACCTGAAATAAGATCAGCTAAAACAACTAATCAAATGCCCAAAATTACTACAAGATCCACCCTGAGGTTGAATGTATGCAAACGTCTGACTGGCACTGTGCTTATGTGTTTGAAATTTGTTGGCTAGAATATGAAGGAGGAAGGTGTCCTTGTTTCATCCAGAAAGACATGAATTAATCACAGCCCCCTCGAAGAAACAACTTCCTGACTTTGAGACTTGCTAGTAACGAGATTCTCCTGAGAGACACAGATGCAGTTTCACTGTTTTGGGTCGACTTTTTGAATATTCCCTGATCTTTTTTTTTTTTTTTCCTTCACGCAGAATTCACTGCCTATTAATGCGTGTATCCACAAACACATGAATAAATCTCATAAGAAGACATACTCGCTGTGACGCATCAATGCACACGTGCATTTGCTCTTCCTCCCTTTCCCCTTCCTGCCAAACACAACCACACACACACTCACCGCTTCTCCCTGAGCTTGCTGCTTTCCATCTCAGTATTGCCCTTCTCGCCGTTCCTTCTCGCTTTATCCACTTTTTCTGTTTTCAAACCCTCTCCTCTCTCTTTGTTTGGATAATCCAAAGTTCAGCTCGAGTAGAAAACACTAGGAATCGTTTTCAACAATGTTTGAGTTGAGACCTATCAGAGTCAAACCGTGGTGGTGGTTGTTTTGCGTAGGATTGTTTTATGGGGCTTTAGGGAAGGTGTGTCAGGAGGCACACAAGGTGGTGGAGTGTGTGTCGTTGGAGGGAAACTGTGGCTGACTGAGAGCCCTCCATTTTCCAACATCAGTGGATGAGGGAGAGGATGAGGAGGCGGGGAGGAAGAGCAGTAGTGAACCGGGCTGAGCCGTAAGTCGCTCATCTCGGCCTGTAAGTGGAGTTCTGCGTCGTCTACGTCGTACTGCATATCACAGTCTGGGCAGTAGCCATGATACTGGACCTTCTCGCTGAAACGGACCCGCTCTCTCTCCCGGTGCTCCCTGCCTGGAGCCTTGGGACATTTGTTTTTCTCATGCCGGAGAAGCGGCATCGGCCTGGGCAGCGTAGGAACCAGACCAGATTCCTGCATTTCGCTCTCTCCTGAAATGAAGCACGGAGTGGAAGAGAATAAGTCCTTATTTGGTTTCAGCGGGAAAACGCCACCGTTCCTCAACAAAGACCCATTAGCCTTGGATATATTCCCTGATAAGACCAAAGTTGGATGAGGCAGGTTCTTGATGTTGTGTTCCTCCGTTCTCAGCGTCGTGTGTCTCGGCGGTGGCAGTGGCGGGTGTGGCTTCTTGAGAACCGTCAGAACTCCAGGTTGATGGATGGGTACCGGACTCATGGGCACCTGCGTCTTGAAGATGCAGTCCTCGGGGAAGAGCTTCATCTTCTCCAGGCTGGACGCGGTTGTGGTGGTGGTGGTGGAGCTCGAGCTGGAGTTGAGCGTGTCGGTCTTCGAGCTGTCGGTCAGTCCGTCCTCCTCCAACTGGAGGTCTCCAGTCAGGGTGTCGATGTCGTGAACAACCTGGCGACAACGAGAAGATCCATGTGTCAGTTTGGGAGCTCAGGTCACTCAGTAGAGAGATTACAAAACTATTCATAACCTCTGGAACTTGGTCGGGATTTTTTTGTGATATCTCTACCATCTTTGCACATCAAAAATAGAACTTCAGAATCAGCTCTAGTGTCACAGCCACTGAAGAAATAGAACTAGTGTAAGCATTAAGAGTGGCCATTTAACTGGCCTAATATGTTATAGATATGCAGAGAGCAAAGCTATTTGCGACTGCAAAATTACACAGACTGATATTGGGATGTCGACTGTTATTCAATACACTGAGCCATGACTGTTTGTGCATCCACTTTACCACTATGATCTACTTTGTGTTTGTTAATGATGGAAAATCCTGATACGTTAGATAGGATTTAAAAAAATAATCTTTTCTACATAAAAAGATGTTTAAGGCAAGAGGACAAAATGGGGACAAGGATGTTAAAACACCTACCTAGAGGAGATGGACAGAAAGTGATGTCCTTAAGAGACAGAACAGATTCAAGAAAAGACCTGATAAATTCATCATCATCCAGTTCATCTACTGTATGCCAACCTTTTAGCTACAAGCTGCCTGGGAATCACCTTGATGGCACTAAAATACAGATTTATGTGTGTAAAACTGTGCTGTCATAGCTGTTCTTACAGATTCAGCTAGGACAAAACATAACACAACTTGCTTTTGTAACAGTCTGCCAGCTTGCTGCTTATCTAAATGCTTATTTGTCTGTTATGTGTGAACACAGGCCGGGTCCATCCCATGAATTTAAGGAGCTTTTTCATGCCTGAATGACTCATAGGTCAGAGTTAAGACGCTTAACAAACAGAAAATTAGACATTCCTCTGAAAAACATCTAGGCAAGGCACTGAAAATGAGAGAAAAACAAACCAAAGTGTACAGTATGACTTCTTTTTCCACTATATGTCAGCTGCAAGCACACACAAGATCCTTTAGATATGTTTATAATGTATGGCAAAATCTCCTGGACAACTTCTTGAGTTGTGGCTTTGATAATAAAGAGCATAAATTCTAATGCAAAATAAAAAGGCATAAAAGCGACAATTTATATAAGAAGAGAGCTTGGGAAGAAAACAGAGGGCAAAAAGATATGAAAAATCAATAGGCTGGCAGACTGTTGCAAAGTCGGTACAGTGAAGAACTGCTTAAGTAACAGAATGAATCTGTTATCTCTGAATGTTATATAATTTATGAATACAGAGAACACTGCGGAAAACAATTAGGAGGAGAGGCCTGGAATAGAAGTGTATAATAAGGAAAACTGGAAAATTGGTTAAAAAATGCAGCAGAAATTTGTATTGGATTTTATCTGGACCCTTTGGAAATAACAAATGTAGATGATGCGTTTAAAGCTTACACAGAACTATCAATGATTTCATTTGGACAAAATCTACAGACCTGCAGATGTTTTTGGGACTTGATGAGTTGATAAGTTTGTCTATACATTTATCTACACATTATTCCATCCATTACGCACTTATCTATTTAAAGGTGATAGGGGACTTGAGCTTTAGTAGGTGTTAGCATCTTCCAACCTCCACAAAGCAATCAAACAAGTGCTTTAATCCCTTCTTGATTCATATGGGATGTACTCATTACTGCTGCAGCTTTGCTGTTATTGGCCAAAACATGAAAAACAGTTTAAAATAAAGCTACCATCAGTGCAGTAACTTAATCTTACACTAAAAGGATTTCTAATAAAAATATGGCCATTAATTTAAATACATTTGTTCAGTTGAACAAATGTATTTAAATGTCCAATGTATCTCTTTCAATGGCCATGGGAACCTTGTTGGAGTGCATAAACTATTTGAAATACCAGAACACTTAAATACAAATCTGAAAATTACTTTACATTTCAACTAGATAATGATCTAAAACACATGGCCAAGTAAACAGAAATGGTTCATGAGATACAAAACCAACATTCTTCGAAGGCCATCACAGTGAAATACTATGAGATTTTTTTAAATCTCTTAATCTATTTTTCACACCTCAGAACAAAACTAGCATTTTTCAATGTTATTCTATGTTCTAGTTAAAAAAACAAATACATTTTAAAGCTTTTTCCCATATTATTCTTAAAAGGTAGGAATACATTTGGATGGCACTACAGATGTCTACCATAACAAACACTGTCCAACCACAATGGAGAAGAAATAATAAGTTATTTAACTACTCTGATATTCAGAAATATTGACTTTTGTTTCATAACCATTTTTAAAAATCCACCCAAGATATTCCTTATCAAATTAAATTGTTTATTTTCCCTTCTTTAGAGCTGCTTTGCTTTGATACACACAACTGATTATTTTAAAAATCGCTGCCTGACTTTGTAAGTAGAAAGAAAAGAACTTCAGCACGAAATGTCTACGGAGCCTTCCGATGGGATTTATGCTCCTTGAACTTTTTTGACATTTTGTCCCCTGACATTTATAAATTTCTATGTATTTCACAGGATTTTTTCTTCATACAACACACATCAGCACATACTTATAAAGTGGAAGGTAAAGGGTACATGGTTTTCTTTACCAAAAAAAAAAAAAATCTGAAAAGCATGTAATGCATTTATATTTCGCAGCTTTTACCCAAATAACTCTAAATATTACAAATCACCTAATTATTCTATTCAATTCAAAAGTATGATTTATCAAAATGAGAAATTAAATGTTGTAGCTCCTCTGGAAGCAGTCTGTCTTGAAAAAAATCTAAAGAGGCCTCTGGTTGAAGACATTGCAGATTGTCAAGATATAAGAGTCTGGACAGCAGAGACGGTTTTACTCAGTAACATGTCTAGAAGACGCATATTGCTGGTAAGCACTGCTAATCGACCTCATTTTGTTTTGCTGCTTCACTTTAAATCTGTATCTGGTATTGTTTGAGCTTTTGACATGCTGCAAGTTGCAAAACAATAACTTGTTGGCAGGGTTACACACCTTTACAGCTATCCAAAAGAATGAAAGCAAGAGCAAAAGTCCTTCCAACTGCACAACATCTAAAACCAGAGGGAATAATTATCCAAGCCTCAACCCCAAAAATTATGAACTATAGTCTCCAAATATAACAAATTAGAACTAAGGTAACAAAGCTATTCCAACATGCTACCATCATGAGTGGTGTAATTATAGAGTCCACTTGTGTAAGATTAATATCAGTATAAATATATGTTCTGTAAGAGCCTCAGAAGTTTAAGAAACAAGGAACAATGGACAAAAACAGTATGACGAAGCAATATGTGGCAGAAAACTAACAGTGGATAATGTCCTGTACACAGCATTCCCATGAAACATGGTGATGATTTTCTTCAGCAGGGAAAGGAAACCTAGTCTAAGCTGTAAGAGAATGGATTAGGTTAAATATAGGAAAAAACCTTTATAAAAGCCTAAAAGAGGTTGCAAAATTAGAAAACATCTTGTCCAGAAGTGATGCTGAAAAACTAGTTCATGCAGTTGTTACTTCAAGACTGGTCTACTGTAATTTATAATCTATAAAATGGAGGTTAAAGCCTCCAGCTGATCCAAAACGCTGCAACAAAAGTTCTGATTCAAATGAAAAAGAAACAATATTTCTCCTAATTTAGCTTCCATTGATCGAGTCCCTGTGAAATCCACAAAGGAATCTTGTGTTACTCCTTGTCCCATATAAAGCCCTTAACAATCGACTCCATCAGAGATCTGATTGTTCCACATGTTCCTGAGAACTTTGCTCCCAGACTGCAGGTTTACTGTTGGTTCCTAGAAACTCTACAAGTGGAATGGGATGCAGATCCTTTAGTTATCAGGCTACTCTCTCAGGTTTAGTCTGTGAGGCAGAGACCCCATCTATTTTTAAGATTTTAGATAAATCTTTGAGATAAATCTTAGTTAAAAACAGAGATATGTTGCCAAGTTGGGCTATCTCCATAGAAACATCTAAGTCTATGGACTTGGACCACTGGAGGACCACTTTCCCTCCCTCTGCTACTTTCTTCTTCTGCTACTCTCCAATTTGCATTATGTGATGTTATTTCAAATGTTAACTTTATGTTGTTGTTTTTTTCTCCATAGAAGATGCATCTGGTCTGGTATTCTGTTTGGCTCTGTTGCCTTCCTGGAAGGAGGCATAAACTGAGACAATGGTGCCAACAACTAAACTCTCTCCCTCTCCTGCTGTTAACTTGTTTAACGTAGAAAGTACTCCTACATCAATTCTTCTGTTTTTCTTTGTGTGTATCTCCTGTGATTCCTCAAACCCCCAGTCGGATTTGACTGTTTGTACTGAGCCAGGTTATGGTTCTGCTGGAGGTTTCTTCCTGTTAAAGGGGAGTTTATCCTCTCCATTTAATGATTTAAGTTTATTTGATAGGGACAGACACACATTGACACACAAACTGAACAAAACAGCAGTCCCATGTTTGCGTCAGTGCAATAACAACAGCTAATTCGCAGCACTTGTCCCTAGATGGGCTTTTAAAAAGTACCTCTAAAAATTTAAGTGATGCTACGTGCATGCTCAGAATGAGGGATTGCTTTAAAGTCATTGACACAATGCAAGCGATTGTCGCTATGTGCTCGTCCAGGAGGAATGAAAGCTGCAAGTCAATGACCTGATGCAATCTACTGGGTTTTCTCAGAAAACTTTTTAATGTGTTTGAATTGTGAACTGAACTTAATGCAGTGTTTGATAACTACCATCAGTAGTTAGGTACATTTTTTACCTTCAAACAAAGCAATTTAATTTAAACAGCGTACTGTTGCATTTTAACATAGGATGTATCTATGAATAAATTGAAACAACTTGCTTTTGTGAACTGCCTGAGCTGTGACTTGGCACTATTTAAATGAACTGAACTGAACTGAATAGAGTTGAAATGATCTTGGAGTGGCCCAAAGGTTCACCTACCAGCAGAACACAAAGACCAAAACATAATTGCCTGCACTGGATTTTATGTAGGCACATCCACACATAAAGTATGCAACTCTTTTCATGTTTGGTTTTGGTAAGTATTTTTTTCAAATCATGCAATCCGTTTACTTCTACATTGCAGTGTGTCCTGCTTAGTGTTAACGTTTGCAGTTGCAAGATGACAAAACATTGAAAAAAACACCAAAAGGGTATGAATACTTTTATAGTTTCACAGCTTCAGCGCCAGATCCCTTGAAGATCATGTACTTAATGCTATGTTGTGAAGAACAGCATAGAGTATTTATTGACCTGTGGGGTTTAAATGCTCGTCTAGATTTGCTAACGGTGGTCAAAAGAGAAACAGAGACAAGGAACGAAGTAGAGAGAAGAAAATAATAAAACGAGTGGAGAGAGCTTAACTCTTCATGCTGTCTTTAAGTGGATAATTTGTTGGGACACACACAAGAGGTAATACCGGTATCCCAGTGTGCAGCCCCCGCTGTAGGCCAGGGAGCCCGGGCCGCTGTGCCAAGCATCCGAGCATGGTCCTTCCTCAGAGCCAGACTTCGCTCCAGCCCTGTCTACGAGTTCTAACAGATAAACGCATTTCAAACGGATTATGCCCCAAACACTGGCTTTGATAGTAACATCCCCTCCAGCCCTGTGTTTAATGTGTGAGCTGTGTCAGAATAACTGATCCTCTATACAATTTCCTGCAAGGAAGAAAAAAAAAAAAAAAAACGTAATAATAAAAGAATAAAAGAAAAGGGCACATCAGCGAAGATTACTATAGACAGACTACAATGCCCTCCTGTTGTCATTTAACTGTGATGCCTGCTGTGATAGATTGTAAACTGCTGAAAAGGACAAAAGAAGTTTTATTAATCTCAAACTGTGAGTGAGAAAGACAGAAAAAAGAAACAGGAAAGAAGAGGGAGAAGGAGAAAAGGGATGCAGGGAGGCAGATGCTGTGGAGTAGCCATCCATAATGCAGGAAGCAGAGGCTGTATGCAATAAGATTTCATTAGAATGACAGCTTGTCATGTTAAGGTGAAAGGTTTGGGACGGGTGCCTGGTGTGTACCCAGTGCTGGAATGCAAACATAAGACCAACAACGACTGCAGGTTGATTACAACCGAGGTGGCAGCCCGCGATTCTATGACTGGAATCAGAAGAAGAACTGATTTGATACCAGAAAACAAGTCACAGAGGGACTCAGTGAGAATAGCCTGCAGTATAAATATTTAAAATTCAAATTAAATATAAAGTATAAACCCAGAGCCATATGTGTGAGTCCCTATTAGCATCTCTATCTCTTCATCACTGAGCTCTTAATGCATAGTTGACAGGGGTGCCACCAAGGAGGCCACACAACTATATACTCACAGTTTTTATTCATATAACGTTAAAATAGGAGAGCGTGTGTTTCAATAGGTTAAAAAATTTGTTGGTAATGCTAAATTCTGAGAATTGTGTCCAATTTTAGATATCTTCTCCTGTAAAGCTTTCACAGATTACAAAGTTTTAAAAACAATTAAAAAAAATTTTCTAGCCTTTTACTATTACTACTTTACTATCATTTTCACATTTCAAACTGGCTATAGCATGTCATCTCAGCCTGATTAAAATGGTCAACAGTAGTCTCTGTGTTTGTCCTCTTGAAAATTTTAACTCGCACTGAGATCCCCAAAAGCCTGAGGACATTTCCAAATCCAGAATATCCCAATAAAGACAGAAACTGATGACTCAAAATAATAGAAAAGCTGTTTTTTTTTTGTGATACTTTAAGTTGTCAGAGCACTCCGTCCCTTATTCACTGAAACATTGCCAAAGTGGGTGCAAGTTCATGTTCTGCACCAGACATTTTCATACCCAAGAAAATTAGGAAGAAAACAACCCAAAAAACAAAATAAAATAAAAAAAACTATGTAACTGAAAATAACTAACTGAGGCCGTGCTCTCTGCTGCAGCATGCTGACTATGCATAGCTTGTGAAATAAGGTCACATATTTAGATTTTACAGTAGTATTTTACAGTAGTTGTGCCTTTATGCTTGCTATAATGTAACATTCAAACACCAAACTAATGAATGGCTAACTTCACGTCTGCTTCCCACAGTAACAACTTCTACTCTGAAAAGTGTAGAAGTTGGAAAGGAAGGAATTTTGGAGTTTCACTAGAGGATTTCTCTATCTCTGATTTACTCTCACTAAAGTCACATAGATCAGAATTTTCCTTGCAGATATAAATTGCCAGTTGTCTTTAACTTTTTACTTTTTTGATAAAGGTTGAAGTTTTGAATCCACTCATGTTCTGCAGCTTTTAGGGTGTTTTTGCCAGAAATGTTTTAGTTTTAAAACAAACTCTGATTGTTTTCCCTCTTGGTCCGGTTTGTTTATATAGGGTGAACACAGGGCAGGAACCAAAACAACTATATTGAGACGTTTTGGAGGAGGTGTTCTCGGTGTGGTTCAAAACAAACTCTAGAGCAGTTTGTTTATGGTTTGAGTGCGATCCATTGTCAATCCAGTGCAGCTACGAGAGGCTCATTGCAACTAGGAGTGCACAGATTTATCGGCTCTGATTTTCTTAACATCGGAAGATCAGCGATCGGCCAGTACTTAAAAATGAAGCCAATCTTGCACCAATCTTGCCTACATCAGCAAAGGTCTAAAAATCAACCACTGTCCTCTTTTGTTCTCCAGTGAGAGGTTTGACTGATAGACCAACCCACCGGGTCATGTCTGCAGGTTTGCCAGTAACAATAGTCAACCCACTGGTGCCAACTCAGCGACATTTCATACAAATAAATAAATAGTATCGGCTAAAATAGATTTTTAGAGATTGGTAATCGACAATCAGAAAAAAACTGCAAACGG